AATTAGAATATTGTAAGTTTAGTGATGGAAGTAAATTAGAGTACTGTCTGATAGTGACACCATGCAGTAGCACATTCATGTAACTCAGAATTGCATCCAAAATAGGACTTGAGGCTTTTTTTCATTGTAATGTTGGTATGAAAAATATGGAAGCTAGCAGATACATAATCTTTTAAATCCTTAATTTCTGAGATTTTTCCTATGTGGTTTCCTTTATTTCCTGTTGTTCTATTACTTTTTTTTTTTTTTTTAAATATTATATTCCCCAAATTCTCTTCATTCCTCTGCCCCCAGTGTTCATAGTGCTTATGATGTTATTAAACTGCCAGGAGAATTTCTATGCATGAACTCAAGATGTTAATTCACTTTATTAAAGGACCTAATTTAATGTTTCAAATGTTACTGCTTATATTTAAGCATGCTTAAAATTTTGACTTGATGTGTGAAGCCTGAAAAATTTATACCCAAGATTACAAGAGTAAGTCTTTGTTCTTATGAAGTTGTAAGTAGGTGATACAAGTTGCCTGGCTGCTTGCTTTTTGGATGTGTTCATTGCCATTGAAACTAATGGGCATATCAAAGATCATCTAAGTAACCTTCAAAGATAGCAGTGATCTGAGAAACATGCTGACCTTGCTGGGGTTTGGAGGTTTGGAAACTATAGGTCTTGGCATAGGGTCTGGCTAAGGCAAGCATGAGCTGCACAGCACCACTACAGCTGCTGCTATGCCTTGGAGTTTCTATATACCTTCCTCTCACGCAGTAAAAAACCAGGAATAAATTGAAACTTTCAGCAAGGCATTGAACAAGGCAGCAGCTGGGAGAGCTGTGGCTGAGCAGTACACCAAGAGGCTTTGCTACAAAGAGCTCTGCATTAGCAATGGAGGAGGCAATCTTACTTTTTCATTCATTCAATTTAATACTTTTTTTTTTGGTCACTGCACTTAATGGTGCTGAGAAATTTCATTGACCCAGATTTTGCTCATTACCTTTTAAGATCAACCTGATAATTTCACCAGTGTGACTCTTCTAGAGCATAATGCAGTCTGTGTGCAGTTGCCCTCTGTGTAAAGATGAGTCTGTGCTGTTAGCAGACTGTAGGATCATACTTTTTTCGTTCCTGCAGTACACCTGTAATAAAACAATACCTGGAGGTTTTTCTTTGTATTTTGTCACTGCATGTGGTTAGTTTCAGAAGATTCTCTTCTGGTCCGTCCTTATCTTCTTCCAATCCCTGACCTTTGGACACCTTTTTCTTACTGTATCTTCACTTGTTTTTCCTTTGTTTTGTTCTTGTCTCTGTCTTTTGCCAGCAACATTTATCTCCAGTTATATGCATATCTTTGGTTTTAATTTTTTGCTTGGTTGTTTGTACAGCTAGATGCATTCGTGTGCCACTTTAATCATCCTTCACATGCATTAAACCAGGAACCATTCATGCAGTCATGCAGATTTTGAGAGCCCCATGTGAGGCTTGAGCTGTAGCAGGGGCTGCTGGTTGTGTTGTTCTCCAGCAGCTCCTTATGTACATCAGTGGATTCCACTGCACAACTATCCACAGTAGAGAGAACAAGTGGAATGCAAAAGCAGTAAGAAACTTTATAATTTAATTCATAGAAAATTATTTTTACATTTCTCTTTCATAAGCATTTTTGCTGTGGAGAGTCACAAAGACAGAATTTAAATTAAATAATTTTGGACCTTATTGGAGGAGTAAGAGTTTTACCCTATCAGTTAAACTAGGACCTTCTAATAAACTCTTCCAAGTTTCTTTTGTTCTTTAATTAGGCACATTCACGTGATCAATTAACAGGAGGAGCAGTACTGTTCAGATACTTAGCTTATCCTTTTTATGGTTGAATTTTATGTGTTTTTAAATTATTGTATATTTCCCTCTCCAAAATAAATAATTAAACCAATGTTTTGTCACTTGGAGCAATATGAAGAAAAAGATGAAGAAAAATACTAATGTAGAAGTGGTTTGGGCTGCAAAAATGTGTTTCCTCGTGTGCCCCTTTCTCAGAGGGCATTTGTGCTTGTTTGCTGCAGAGATGAACAGGCGAATGGAAAGCAAATGGGATTTTTACCTCTGGCTCTAGGAACAGAGAAGTTGAAATGCTGTTAAAATCTCCCAGATCTTTGAGGCTGCATAATATTTTCTTGATTATGTAAAAAATAATATATTTCACCCAAATAATTGTTTTTCTCATATTAAAAGTACTTGGAAGTAGCGATCTGGTAGTGTGTGGTGTGAGGAACGTGTGAGTTCTGAGACTACTACTCTTGTTGTATTGCAGATGCTAGTGAGGAGATGCACAGCAGCTGTGTCTGAGCAGGGTGTTTAAATGGGAGTTGTGGTGAATTCCCACTCTGGAGGCTGATGGAGTCATGGGGAATTTATTAAAAATATCTTGAAGTCATCATACAAGTTTGTGTAAGCTTGGGGAGGCTAAGATAGTGTAAGGGGACAGATGTATTTACATGAACATTTTATGCACCAAAGGGTCCCTTTTGGTGACAATTTGCCTTGTAGCTCCTCTAGGGATTCTGCAGTATGCAATTGTGCTGAGCACCAGTGTGTTTCAAACTGTTTGCCTTCTAAGGAAATCTGGAACACCCAGCTTGTGACCGGGGTGTGAAGTCCTCTGGCCATTCAGTCTCTTAATGAGTGGTACATGCGTGACACTGGCCAGTGGTGCACACTTTGGTGCTGGTAAAGAAGTGACATGCACTTTTGGTCCTGGATGCACATTGGGTTGCAGCAAAGTCAACCCTGGATGTTCTCTGTGCCAAAGAGGCATCCCAACATCCGGCATTGCCCAGTAGCCAGGATAGCCTTCCCAGCTTGTAGGTAGAACTAAAACTTCAGTGCTAGGCCTTCAGTTTTGGTAGCTTACTTTGTGAAATGCTTTGTGCATTTGAGAAGTAGGTAATAAAGCTGAGTTTCTGTGGCAAAGGGCTGCTGAGTCTGACATTTTAGGAAGTCTCTTAGAAGAGCCAAAGGTGTGATGGCATTTCAGATACTGCAGATAACTGGGACTTGTGGGGGAAATAAGGGCAGTAGGAAGTTTGTGTGGTGTGAGCAGCTTCAGGCATGAGCAGGCATGACCAGACTCTGCACGCATGTAGACTCAGCACTTCTCTGTACTGGCCTCTATCTTTTCTCTCTGGTACTTGAGCAGAAGGTAATAAATTAGAAAAGGCTGCAACTCTTTTCTGATGCACTGAGAAGAATTAGATTCTGCTGAGCTTGGTTCCACTGCCTTTGTCAGGTGCTCTCTTTCCTCCCAGAATAACCAACCACACCAAACACACAGCCCTGGACCAGAGAGGGTACAAGGAAGTGGTCTGTGGTGCTGCTGGTTGCTGCCTGTAGCTAACACCCTGCACTGTCATAGATGTGGGCAAGAGCCCATGCTCCAGGGATCCAAATCCAGAAAGGACTTTGGCCTTTCATGGTGATGGAGGGGAGAGTAAGTGTTTTACTTACTGTGCGAGATTTTTATCCTGCCTGTGACTCTGAAAGCTTTTCGTTCTTAGCACAAACTCTTCCTGTACTTGTGAGAAGTCTTGGGCCAGTTCTTCTGAGTTGGACAGAGTGATTTAACTACCACAAAGGAGACACAAGGAGCCTGCTCCATCAGCAGAGATAAAGGGGCTAAAACAAGACTAAGACATGTTTTGCCTGGATATCATATCATGAGGCTGCTGCACTCTGCTTCAGACACAGGAAACTCATGAGGAAAGGTTTAAGAAGATAGGATGGAAAAGAAAAACAGAGGATTAGCCAGTTAATGGTTGCTGCTCATCACCCAAGCTGTGCCTGTTTTCCTAGCCCTGTATGTTCTGCAAGTACATAACAAAACGTGTAAGTGATGCTAATTGCTTTCTATTTAAATGATGGTTTATGATCAGTTACCTTGAATCAAAGGTGGGTTCACTGGTTGATGTATTTTTTATTTTGTAAATTTCAGATAATTCAATCTTTAGTTCTTTGATAGCAGTTCTCTATTATTGATGAGTTCTACGTTACTCCTCCAAACTTGTCATCTCGGTATACTTCTGGAACTGTTTTCTTGTGTTTTGGTGTGGTTTTTTTTTCTATGGAATCCAAAATATGGTTTTGTGGTGACAAACTGTGCTAGCAGAAGCATTATGTGAACTGATACAACACTTTTCTCTTTTTTTGAAACTTATTTATTAAATGCATCTTGTGAAGCAAACTGTTGTAAGAAGCACTTGCATATCATCCGGATATTGCCTGGACAGGGAGATCAGATTCTTTGTGGTAATTGCCTTCTTTCATAACTTTTGCAAGGGAAATGGAGAATTCAGCTTCCTGAACAGCTCAACATGATCATACTATGCTCTAAATTAGAATTTATTAGAGATGGTAGTGCTCTCCCTTTCCTGGCTAAAATGATGTCACATGAACATATATACACACATATTAATATATATATATATGTTGATATATATTAATATGCATTTTGTTGCACAGACATTGTATTTCAGTAAGAGCAATAAGAGGATTGTTAATTCATAGATTAGTATAAAATGTAAGGGGTAGTGAAGAGCTGTGCAATTCTCATGAAAAATGTTACTAATGCAAGCAGTTATTATTTACTTGAGTATTACAGCCAAAACATACCTTTTGAGATTCTGGTTTGACTGTAGGCCACAGCGGGAAGGTGAGATTGAGTGGTGTAGAAAAATCAGCAGTGATAAATAACAATTAGAGAAGGAAGCTTTTCAGAATGAGATTCAACAAAACCTGTTTGAGGGAGAAAATAAAACAAAAGTCTCATGGTAATTTACTCTTGGCCCTGCTTTCATGTGTGGTCGTAGGCTAGTTAAGGCAGTGAATGATCATTGAAGGTGAAGAGGTTCCAAGGCAAGGAGGTTACTGCCATTTAAGAAGGCAGATGATGGGAAAGGAAGAAGAAAAAGAGCCAAGAATTAAAGCTGGGGGAGAAGAGGATGAACAGTGAAACTGGCGAATGACAGAAGGGCATGCACTGCAAGCAGCAGCAGTTGGAAATAGGAAGGTGGGAGGTATATGACTGAGATAATGAAGACAAAGAAGGGCGAGGCTTTGTGGTTTTCTGGGACTGACTATCACCTCAGGGAAAGGAGAAATTAAAAAGGAGAGAGTGATCATAGATTATGATGGCGAAAAAAATAATTTAGAAGCCCTGAAGGGAGAGGAGGAACAGCTGTGAGCAGTGGAAGGGGCAGTCCTTGAGGGAGCCAGAGTGCATACAAGGTGTTACCCAACACTAAGGGAACAGACAGGGTATTTTAGGGAAGCTTGGCAGCATGATGACATTACTGGGGTTCAGGATCAAGAGTTACCTGTCACACAAGAGTGCCTGTGTATCAGGAAGCATAGGGCTGGGAGTAGTGAAAGAGCCAGAGATACTGAGAACGTGGTCCAAAACTGCAAGGATGCAGTGGCGGCTGCAGGGACACCCCACGGGGCTGGCAGTCAGGGGCCCTGGAGCAGCCCCAGGCATTGGGCACCTCCCTGGTGATGGGATCAGGCTGAGGCTGGGATGGGACTCAGCCTGTGGGTAGGGATCAGGATCAGACACAGCATGGTGGTGCCTGGGCAGGACCATGGTGACGCGCATCACTATGGACAGCTGTTAGAGAGTAAAATGGGGTAGGTAAGAGATGTAATTTGTGGTTATAAAGATTTTGCTGAATATGTGAAGTCAATTAAGCATCATAAATATCCATAGGTTTTGTTATGCTGTTATATTTGTTCATGTCTTCTGCTGTTTTCAATTATTGTTTAGAAGAGATAAGAATATGTAAACAATTACAAATGTGAGATAAAAATACGGTGGTAAGATTTTTAGCTTTGGGAGCTACCTATGGATCTCACTTATCTTATTTCTCAAAAGCTGTGTTGTACCATTGTGTATGATATATAATGGTTCAGCAATTTAGAAAAAGAAAATAGATTTCTGCCTAGTGTTTTTGGTAAATAATAATATTTCACAATTATGACAGAAAGTGCTGCATGTCATCAGGAAATAAGGAGATTGTTTGAGCTTTACTATTAAATGTTAGTCTTATTTTCTAATAATTGGTTTAATACATCTCCTGAAATGTTCTTGCTCTAGAAAATTTCCATGAATGTGTCAATGGAAAACTTAAGAAAAATTTCTTGCTTTAGACAAAGCCATTTAAGGTAATCATGATTACTTAGCATTGCAGATTTGACCATGTCTCTCTGGGTCAATTTGGGCAACTCTACTGTGTATGAGCAGACCTTATAAGTGGGAACGTGTGCATCTGAAGGGTACAAAAGTAATCATTTATTGGTTAGCAAACATAAAAGACAGGTAGGATTTAACAAGCTGTCCCTGGCAGGACACCTAAAGAGACTTTGCTTGCCAGGCAGCTGTGAATGAGGTGGGGGAGTATTGCCCTTCTCTGCTCCCTGAAACAGGTCGTCATTGCTGCCGGGTTACTGTCTGCCACCTACTAGCTTTTCTTCTTCAGGATTTGATGTCTTTTCACATTTATGTTTTTCCTCCTGAATCCTTAAGCTGGTAAAAACTCCAGTGTCACCAGTCCTACCTTTCTCTGCAGTTTTACCTTTCTAATCTTGAGTGGCTATACTCCAAGCTTTCTTCAAGGTCTTTCTCATAGCTTGGCAATTTCCTTAGAGGTTAGCCTGAGGTACAGAGATGCTGCTGTGCCATGTTGGAGCAAGCTGGAGTGCCCAGAGGCAGGTCACACAGGTGAAATATGAAACACTGAGGTGACATGCTATCAGACGTAAAATGAGGAACTTAAATAACATAAATGATTCTTGAAATTTTAAGTGTCACAGGAGTCTTACACCTCTTTAATTTTATAATTTACAAAAAATGATCTTAATGGTGAACACTTGCTTTGTGGTAGCGCTTCTGTTACAACTATTTTAGGTGTTAATAATATATTATGGGAAATACAGATTAACAGGCAGCAAACAGCACTCCTGGCCTTAAATACTCATTTCACAGTTCCTGCACATCTTTTGGAAGATTTTCCAAATACACAGTCCGTAATTGTCCTTTCTTCTGTTCTAGGTAATGGTCCCCATCATGATCGAAGTTGTGTTTACAACCAGAGTAACATAGTAGATGGAGTTTACTGCCTCCCAATAGCACACTGGATTGAAGTATCTGGACATACTGATGAGATGAAACATACAACTGACTTCTATTTTAATATTGCAGGACATCAAGCTATGCATTACTCCAGGTAAAAGAAAAGTGCAGGGTTTGGCTGGTGTCAAGTACTCGAACAGAAAATCTGTACTGACATAATGTCAACAAACTTCGAAGTGGTTAATGGTAGTATGTATGTAACAGTGAAGGTTAACAAAGATTCAGTACCTCTTTGCAATTAAATGTCACTTTTGACAATGAAAAGGAGAAGTTCTGAGTTCAAGGATAACTGCAACCTGTACAGGTGTGTTAAGTTGTATCACATCTGAAAAAGACTAATGGTAGTTTATGGCTACCTCTATGAAGAACTGTTATTTTTCAAGTGCTTGAGCACTTGTCACTATGCATATATGTAATGTGTTAGGTTTGGGACGACTTTGCTAAAGACTATCTCCCGGGAAACAGAAAGAATATATTCCAGCACCAGAACTTTAGTGTGTTACATTAATCACTCATGTGCGGCAGCAAATGTGATTAGTAACAACTCTTATAGATGACTTCTGTGAATATATTTTAAAAAAATACTAAAACTTAGTCGAGTCTTAAAATGTCTGTACTTCTATGGTGTTCACTTGAGTTCACTGCTTCACCAGTGAAGCATCCTGCTGTGAAATAGAAGACAGTAAAGCTTGAAGAGAAGAAGGCACCCACCCTTTAGGGCTGCAGATAAAGCACAGGCTGTATTTGGAGAAGTAGCTTTAACACTGGCAGTTAACAATGTGGCACCAAGGACCTTGGGAACATTTGTGACTTTTTCCCCATCTCCAGTCACAGATATGATAGCAAGTTCGTTGATGATTAATAGATGCATGAGTGCTGGTAGCTCTGATATGCCATGTGTATTTGGTGTTGATTCCAGAGCAGTTAGTGATGCCAAAGGGATATGCATTTATTTATTTTTTTTAAGAAATCAAACCACCTCATACTTTCATTAGATCTAAGTATTGATTTGTGTACATGTCACGATCCGGTATTCGGACACGTGGCAATTTTTCATAAAGGTGATCCCAACTGGTGAAATTAAGACGCAAACGAGGTCAGATGTCACATGCACAACAAACTTTTATTAGAGTAACAAAGCAAAGGTCCCTAGAGCGGATAGGACAGGCAGGAAAACAGAGACAGGAAAGAGAGGAGAAAGCAGAGAGATAGAGGACAGAAAGCAAGAGCATAGTTACCACCCACGGTTCAGTGATGTGGTCGATGTCGTCGGTGGAGAAGTAGTTCCAGGTGGAGAAGTGCTACCCTTGCACCCATAGAGTCCCAGACTTTTATACAGTTCTTTCCCCAACTCTTCTTTCCGGAGTAAGGAAAAACTCCTATCTTCTCCGTGCTCCTCCGAGGTAACAGGGGGGGTAGGTATGGCGCCAGGTTAAGTCCTGCAGATAGTCTTTGTTTGGATAATTGCTGGGGTCTCTGCATAACGAAGGGGAGGATGAGACGACTGACACCACAGGTTTAATTTATTGCAGGGGAGTATCCTGCTCTAAACCTGACCATCTTGCCTCCTCTTTTTACTCTTTTGTCTCCACCCTCCTACAAGGTAGAAAGAAGAATTGTCCTTTTCTCATGAAAGTTGCAGTGTATGAGGGAAAGTTTTCCTCCTCTTGGTATCTTTTGGAATAGTACAGGTTCATAAACACTGTTAGGCATATGTAGGTATTTGTGTGGCTTTGAACCTTTTCCCTGAAACCCCTCCAACCTACATAATACGCCTGACAGACAATTGTTATCTGTATCTTATGCATCCATTTCCAACACCCTATCAGAGAAAAAATTTTGTTTATTCCAAAGCACAAATTTTTCAATCCCAGATAATCTTTGCTTGGCAGAGGAAGTTTGTGAGAAAGAACGGCTGTCAGAAAATGAATATCTAAACACCAAAGGCTAACTTATCTTCCCTTGTAGATGCAGCAGTGATCCATTTATTGCTGCCTTATCTGCATGACTATATGTATGTAAGATTAGGTAAAAAGCACAGATAACTGAAGAATATCTGGAGAAAATTTTCTGAGTTGTGTAGTCTTTCCCAGATGAGGATCTCCTCTTCTGTTCCCCTCTCTCACACACACACCTTCATTGCAAAGCAACCTTATATGTATGTCTTCAGTTATTCTTACCTCGTTTCTTTGTGCTATGTTAAGTGAGCATACCCCATAACAGTCCTGTTGCATAATTATTTTTAATACTTTGAAGATATGCAGCCTTAAATTACTTTTTCATCATTAGCAGTTGGGGGCAGATACACTGTTCTGCTGATTATAGCAAAGTAGCACAGAAATACTGGCTAATTAAGAGTGGGTTTTTGGCAAAGCAGCTGAAGTGAGCTGATGAAAATGCCTTTATTTTGTAATGGATTTATTGGTTCAGAGAGAATATAATAATGGAGATTAATATCACCAAAGATAAAAAGAGAAAAAAGCACAAACCCCCCTCCAAAACAGAAGGAAGGAGCTGGTCCTTCTGCCTGTATCTTTACAAGTGGAGTGTATGATCATCATGGTTTTCTAGCTAAGGTTACTTTTTTGCATGCTGTAATGGAGGCAGCAGTGCCACAGGGAGCTTTAGGAGCAAAAATTCTGAGCCCTGTCACCAGCTGTAGGATCTTTACACAACGATGGCAGCTGGAAATAAGTCTTTTATCAGTGAAAACTTCTGATGTGAGCCCCTTTTCTATCTTGCTCCAGTTAATAGGATTGTCATGTGCAAATTAGCTGGAAAGGAAAGTTGATCTCTGTCAAAATGACCTCCTGTGTGTACCCTTCTACTCATTTTACTTGTAGTCTGCCTAATCACAACAATTAGAAACAGTTGCTCTGAGCTTACTACCACCTTGCTTCATTATAAAATGTGCTTAAACTTTAAATGGGCTACAGCAGGATGAGAACAGCCTGGCTTCCTGCCATTGCCAAAAAAATCATGTGGAATCATGCAGAGGCTGATGGCAATACTCTGAGGAATCAGATTTTTCTTCTCTGGTATAGAGGTATTCATTCATAAACCAGTGACTTCATGTTTAAACTTATATTTAGAGAACTTGCTCTCTGTTGGTCATTTATGCTAGAGACTGTATGATGTGGTTTTTAAACATAGCAGATTTAAATGAGGGGGTTTTTAAAGCGTGAAATGGGAGTTTGCCCACAGCTACAGAGTCACGACTGATAACCACTGTAGCATTAATCTTAGTTTGTTTTGGACATACAGTGGCACATATCACCAAAATCTGACTCAGGAAGAAATAACAGTCTCTTTCTCTTTTGTGTTATCAGTGCAATAAGATGCCTTCAAATTGCAGGAAAGTTCCTGTGGGACACAGTAATTTTCCAAAGCAAATTAGAGTTACTGTAATCTTTTCTGGGAGATGATGACTTCAGAGAATTTGTAAATCTGGCATGTTAGCTCTGTTTCAGCTCCACCTGTAAAAGGTGAAACATCATAGTTCATAGGTGCTACATACCTTATTATTTATATAAAAATCCCTTCAATTCTCAGAAAAAAGGTATTGCTTAAGAGCAAGAGAAGGAGTGACACCTGAAATGAAAAAATCCTTAAATAATATGTTAGAGACAGTGATGCTTGATGGCATAATTAGGTGCTATGAGAATCAATATCACTGAGATGAAAAGCCATCTAGTTCTAGTTTTCTATTTTCAGACTAATTTTAGGCTTTCGAATCCACCCCTGATAGGTGTTGCAATCATCAGTGTTTATGTCCCTAATTTTTTTCCATAAGACAAAAGAAAAGATAAAAGAAAATAAACCCTTGTTTTCACTATATTTGTTTGTTTGTTTCTTGGTGATTGCAAGTTAAACTTAATTTATGATGTAGTGTTCCATCGTAATGTAAGTTAGAACCTAAGTCAGTGTTAATTGGGGATGATCCCAAGTCACATAAAATGTGTGCTCTTGATTTGAACTAAAATGTTCATGTAGATGGCTGAGTGGATGAAGAATGATCCAGGGCAAAATCCAGATGCTACATGTTTACCTTTGGAGGCACTAAAGCAGTATTCTTCTGATGAACGCTGGGTTTTCTTTTGTCTGTAGTAATTCTCCTGTGAAGAAAAGGAACATTTACTTGATCGATAGACATCTTTAATTGCAGTGGAAAACAAGAAGCTGGTCGAGTATATTTTTGCATTGTAATCACTGGAAAAGGGAAAGAATGTAATTTCTGTTAACTTATTTGGTTATATGAGGCACAGTTATTGCTATTTGAATGTTAGAACTCTGTGGGGATTGATGAATGCAAAAATATATTTAAAGACATCTGTTTGATGAACTGAGTCTGATTTTGATCAGTTCTGATCTCAGTTTGAGATGAAAATGGCTACATTCTTATGCTTATATACAGGATTTCAACTCACTGGCGACAAGCTGTCTACTTTAGAGTGCATTGAAGAATCAAACTGGTCTCCAAACTTGATTGATGAGGCTGATGAGATCTCTATTGATTTGTAATAAGACATTCAACATAGTGTCTGGTTGCTTGAATGTTGATGTCTAGTGTCCTTTGAAATGCTCTGGAATTTACTGTTTTGCCTCCAGTTGCTGCACTACAGGAACACAGTTTCTTATGGCTTGTTGACCATATCTGTGAGCCCCATCCAGATGTTTCAGATGCTATAGAATGGCTCAGATGTCAGTGGGAAGCTGTCCTTAGGAAATTTGTTGAGCATTGCTGTGCTTAGAGACACCTGTTTGTAGATAACCAGGGCTAGGTGTCTTTATCTTGATTCTGTATCCTATCCCTAGCCTGTATTAATAAATAATGTCCATCTCTATTCAGTAGGACGTCAGAATTTCCTTTTAATTATGCGACTGGAAAAAAATACGAGAATTTTTTAATTATTTTTTTTTACTCTTTAATTTATCTTCTGATTTATCGATTTTAATTAATTCACAAAATAAATATCCTTCTGTTTTAAGTGTAACTCTGAAGTCTATTTTTTTAATTACTGAATTATAAAAATAAGAAAAAAGCTTTAAAGAGGAAGCTATCACAAAAAGCCCCTAGGGTGCAGTGAACTATGC